AGCGAGCATTCCTTCAGAAATCCCATGTAGTTAATGCCCTTTGGATATTTCCTAAGGGCATTTAAGTATGTTGAGAACTTAACAGGCATACCGATTAGCCTGTTCTGCACCCCTATGTGTAAATTGATGCGTTTCAAGTAAGATGGTCAAAGCTCTTTGAGAATGAGCAGACAGCAAAGCCAAAATAAATCATCAAGGTTTGATTTAAAGAGAATGGTGCAGAGAATCTGGCCAGTACTCAGCACCCAGAAGAAAGGCAAGATAGACGTACAGTCAGACTCCTGCTGGTACCATCAGAATTGGAGTTGTGCACTGGCTGCAGAAGATATGGTTGGAGTACTTATGGGAATGTCCCGAGTGTTACAATGTCGGTTCTTAAATCAGCTCAACGATCTGGTTTTGCCAAAGTACCTAAGTAATAACATTGTCATGCCATTTAATATGACTTAACTATTTGACTGTGATCTTTTTTTTTTTTTTTGCAATCTTCCAACATTTTTGTATGCTATCCTAGCTAACCGTTTTTTTTTTAAAACCATGTAATGTTTCATTCTTTGAAGTTGTTACTTCACAGTAAATAAATGTGTTCTGTTGCATTTTTAAAAATTTCATCCCGATATTTTGTCTGCTGGTTTGTTCAGTGATCTTCTCTAGCTTTATAGACTGCAATGGTTGGGGAATATAGAGAGAATGGCAGGTAACAAGCACAAAAACTGCATACACAAAATTGTTGACTGAGAGAAGACCATGGGCAGACCAAGAAAATAATGAAAAGATAATATTCAAACAAACCTACAAGTTTAGTTAGTTACTCAACAGGTTATCCTTATTGCACTTTGAACCACTCAGTCCGTAAGTGCTCGACCCCCCCCCCCCCCCCCCCCCCCCCCCCCTCCCCCCCCTTTCCTCAGTAAATACTGCAGTGTGTAGCGGCTGACGAAACCAATTCTGTTTTGGTTTATTTTTCTTTGGCTACCCGTGTAGTGTCCTTGTTTGGCGACATCCCGTTTTTTCGTACCTACAAGTATTTGAAATCACCAACCTTTGTTTCTTATTCTGTAACCAGTTGCTTTAGTCCTGTTGTCTTATAATTCTTTGAGTGGTATTGAACCCTAACAGTTTTTTGGTTAGTCCTAGGAGAACCGTCTGAATCCCATCCCACCTATTGTGACTGCCATCATTATCCAGAGGCCTTACAGTCATTTCTGTGTATACATAATTTTGAAAAGCTACTTGAAATATTAACTGGATCAGGACAGATCTATAGCTCTGATTGTGTTTACACATTGTTTTCAGTATTTCCTTAGTGTTGGTGATACTTTTTTGCTTAACAAAATAAATAATGGTCATGTTCCAACCGGCTACCAAGTCGATTAGCGACGAGCCAATGGGCGACCCGGTTGCTGATGAAGTATTTCTTTAGAATGCTTGAGACTTTGTAAAGATAAAAGTGTATTTTTTACTAATGAAACTATTTCATAACATAACAGGTTAGACATATTTTGCTGTACCAGTTGGATTTATTCCTTTTTGTGTGCTTCACTTTTTAAGTTGATGTAACTCTGTAGTAACGCACCTGACAAGATGCAGCAAAATATAACTGGCAATAAATTGTGCAATGAATTGTATTTAAATTTATCACGGGAAAACATTGTTTTGAATAACAGGTTTACAATGTTGTTAACACCTTACATTAGTTATAATAACTTCATTCACTTTATTCACAGACTGAGGACATGGATATTTCTCATGGGGAAGATACATATATTGTTAGTGCTCAGAGTCCTGCTCAACAGCATCTTATTAGCAAGCATTGTAGTGATCAGCCACTGTTTGTGGAAGGACCATATCCAGTGTACATGCGTGATACCAGACAACACTATTTTCTCTTAAGAAGTGAACCTGATGTAAAATCTCTTAAAGCAAAACAACACTTTGAAGAACAAAATGACAACAGTAAGTTTCTGATTAATTTTTTAAAATTTGTTGTGGTCTGAAGAATGCATAAAAAATTTGAAATAAATAAACCTTTTGGCCTGAAACCTTTCGGATGGGAACCATGAACCCAGGAATACCTAAAAGAATTCTTCAATAAAACAACAATTTTACATGGCCACTAAGAATTTGTAAAAAAAAAATATTTCTCTACACCAGCCATTTTTACACAGTCAGGAAAACTAAATGCTGGTTTAGTAGTTTTCATGCTTTGTAATGGATAGTGTTACTGGAAGATCAGCATCTCGGGGCAAAAGGTTTAATACATGTCCTGCAAAATTATACTGTTTAATTAGTCAACACACATGCTTTTATTGTGAAAATATGGGGGTAACTGCAGTCAAGCTAATACAAGAAATTCCAGGGACATTTGACTAAAAAGCTCAACAAAATGGGGAAGCAGAAAAACATGCACAAAACAACACAAATAAAGTAACGTTTCGGCCAGGCAGCCTTTGTCAAACTACACAGAAATAACAACCTTCGTAACCTTATTTGTTTTCAAGCATGTTTTGGATATTCCTCTATGGTTAGCTGGTTTTAGATATTTGGACTAGGTGGTGATTTGGTACATGACAAGCTAGATATGGTCGTGGTCCTTTTAGAGAAAGTGAAGAATGTGTTAGTGCAAATAATTATGGTGTCGAGATAATTGTGCAGCAGGGAGTAACCAGGAAATCTGGCCAATGCTGTACACTCAAAGGAAAGGCAAGATGGTCGTATAATTAACCTGCTGCCAGTACGGTCAGAATCAGAACTCCTTACTGGCTGCTAAAGATGAGGATAGGATTGTTCCAAGTGCTGTGGTGTCATTTCTTGACATAAAGTTTTTAAAAAAAAACATCTGACACTGAAGGATTTCTCTGAAGTGATAGGATGTGACACAAGCAGTATCGTCGCTTGTAATAAGTAGGGAATGAATCTCTTTGAACCCATAAGCATTATGAATGTCTTCAAAGTGGAATGGGTAAAACTACCAGTCAGCAGCAAGTAATCATGCAGCCACACAGTGCCATTTTAGCATAAAGATGCCTGAGCACCCACTCATTATCATTTACTTAGTATTCTTCATGTCAAAACAGACGTCCCAGTGGGGCTAAAGCTCTCTATGGTAGTTAGCATTTTCTGATGGCCAAACCATTTAATCTGTTCATGAATAATTTGTATGACTGGTTTCAGTCCTACTCTGCATAAAATGTCAAATGATTTTATTAAAAATATGGGGGAGAACACACATCTGTGCTGTAGTCCTGAACTAACTCCAGTAAAGTAAAGTAAAGTGAAGATCACTTTTCACGACTTTAGTCGCATCGGGCATATGAGAAGAGCACCCAGATTTTTACAGACCAATCGGCACTAGGTGGGTATTGTGGTCAGCATTATGCCGGCCGTCTTTACTGCCCCAGGAGATACATCCCGATATCCATTTGATCCTGGGTTGACCTGCGACATCCCATACCATGATACAAATTCACGCAAACTAACTTCAGTAGGTTTTGATATATGTGCTTTTGTTTGTAAGCAATTTTTGCTTTATGTATAACTAATTTTTGTTGGCACCTTTCCATCTTTCCAGATAATATTATTACACTGTGCTATAGGGAGTTATGGGAATCCATGGTGATGGCGAGTGTGACTAGCAAGACCTGCCTGCATTAAGAAAAATCTTCCACAATTAGAGCATGGAATTTCAAGACTGTTGTCTGCTTCTTCTGAGATACTCAGCTCTCAAACTAGCTGCAATAAAGTTTTATAGTGTTTCTTCTGCCAAGGACCTCTGTCCCAGTGACAGCTCCTAAAAGTTCATCCAGCCACAAGAATGTCCTCAACCATGTCATTTCGAATATACCCACTATTATAAATATCATTTAAAAGTTTAGTTATTATTTCAATTCCAAAATCTCCCAGTGCTTCATTTCTTCCAGTGAAATGTTGTCTGGCCCGGGTGCTTTTCCTTTCTTCATATGATGTATTGCATCCTTGTTGTGTGCTAAATGAGTCAGCACACTACCAAGTGCCTTAGCAGGTACTCTTCCACTTCCTCTCTTAGAAATAGAACTCGACGACGATGACACCGTCATACATGTTTATTTAACAAGATACATAACACAAATGCAGACACGTAGTTATTGATCACAGCTGACATTCGCACATCGTCCATTTGTCCTCACAGCTCTCTATCTCTCAATTTGTAGCGGTCTCTCCTTGACTACTACAGCTCCAAGGACTACAGCGTCCCACACTCTGGACGCGTCATACAGCTGAACAGGACGACTTCTCCCATTCACTGTAGCTTGATATTAATTCAGCATACAACACGGCTGACTGGAGACAGACTCCTCTTGCCGGACTCCGAAACCAGGTACTACTGGCCTTCCGTCCCCTGGACTTACTTTGCCAGCAGGACCATCTCTTCAGTACCGCAACCTCGACGCTCACTCAGACCTAAATGCCTGATAGTGGTACGGTATTCTAGTCTGTTAGACTTGCGAAAGATATCACGGACCCTGACTTGGTCTTTGACTCTCGTTTTCTCTCTCTCTTCTCGCTTCTCTCTCGACTGCTTCTCGATTGCCCCCGAGTGGCTACTCAGCCCTCTAATTTATCCCCCTCAAATCCGTGTAGGTGGATGATGTCTGCACGAGAGTCACACTCGTACGGGTGTTCTCATGAATCATGATCCTGTGGGTGTTCTCGGGACTCACGCTTATGTGAGCGTTCTCGAGGATCACACTTATGTGGGTGGCTGATGTTACCTGAAAATCACGCTGTCACTTAATTCACACTTTCTCTGTTTATCTCGTTATCCATGCTTTCAGCCCTCACACAGAAACCCACGCGTCCACTTTCTCTCGTGCGTGCACGACTTGTTCATAAATATACATTTTCACTGGTCTACTCTTAATACTCGGACCATGTTGACACTCTTTCCCCGTGAACTTACAGACAGTACTGGCATACCACTGTCCCTTCACACAATTTCACACTATTTACCCAGATCAGCGCGCAACATCATATCCTCCCCCTCTCCCAACTGACAACTAACTGAAATTAAGTTGTCAGTTGTTGAGTTAGAACAAATCCTTGTTGCGAGCTGATTTCACCATTATAATAATCATTGGATATGTGATATCATAACATATAACATTTATGCAGTTATCTAAAGTATCATTGTATATTTCAATACAAGCACCCACATAAATACTTTATCTCTAATTTTAACTATGTGTGTTTCACACAGTGTAAAGCGGTCTTCATACAGGTAGTGGGTCCCCTTGAACAATGCGTGGTAAACCGTCGCAGCTCCCCTTTTCCTGATGCTGTATTCTGTCTTTTGTTTATGCTAATTTTCTGCAGGCATACATGATGGGATGTAACTGACCTCCAAAGTCATATGAAAGCACACCGCTCAGAACGACGTCACACACGTCAATATGCAACATGGAAAGGAAACATTCTATTAGGCAACAGTAAAATGGTATACAAGTGAATGATTTTTGTAAATCGCGTAATGTTATTGCGTATTGCTCTGCCCATTTTATTTTGTTTGGCAAGCCCTTCCTATGTATGACGCAGACAACGAAATTGATGGTTAAGTACTGGGAATACTTTTGAATACAAAGATTACAAACTTAATGATTCTACTTATTTCTTTATTATAATAACCGGGAATTTCATGATTGCCTTTATGCGAATAATTTCTTTTTAACTGAAGATGGATGGCTGTTGAAGTACTGACTTTTGTGCACTGCCTCCGTGTTCTTATTTGGACTGTCAATGAAAGTACTGTTGAATGTGGCTCTCGTTCCACCATTTTGACCGCAGTTTTCTACCGGATAAGTCGAGGATATTTTCTTATCCTTCCCGTAGTTTCTGGGTAACAGATGCAGCATTTAATCCCCTCATCAATTGCCTGGACTGGTTATTCCAATCTGAATAACACTTTTTGTATTTATATGATTATCGCCCTTCTGTCGCCCTGTGTCCTCGCTCTTGCGCACTTGTTGTGCTGTTATAGACGCAGCGTTTGCTTTTTTTTTTTACATTTTTCTTGTACCATCCTTCAATTTCTTTTTCAGTAGGCATGGTGGCTCCTTTTACCGATCCCACTATTACATCTGCTACCGGGTGTTTTAATACGCATACTTCTGTTAACCCTTGAAAATAACAACAGTTTATATAAACTTTTGCAATAGGGTAACTTTCGATATTGCCACCAAAAGTACGACATAATACCCTTTTGCCCAAATATGCAGACTTCGGCACTAAGTACTTTGCAACGCCAATTACATTTCCTCCTGTATCACGTAAAATAGTAGCTGGTAATCGGTTTACATAACCTTTATGTAGCGGTACGCTTTCTTTCATAGATAATGCTGATAAAGCTGGAACAATTATTGCTGACTCTTGCCCCATTTGTATGTCTCGTTGTTCTGGTTCTTCAGAAGAGTTTATGTTTTGTGCAGCATTGCCCTGTTTCATATACTTTGAACAATATCTAGCCAGATGCGGCCCTCTACAAATATAACATTCTATCGATCTCCGATACGACGAGTTCCATCTTGTCGGCGATCTGTTTTCGTTATCCTCTCTGTTATCTCTGTAATAACATTACTCTGATTCATGTCGCCATGATCCACAATGAATACACATTGGTTGATTCTGTGCTGCCCCTCTTCCTGGAGTATCATATCCCCTATTTGGGCTATATCTTTTGTCCAGAATTCTCCAGTTAGAGTTACATACCTTGTTTGGTAACTTTGCTTGCAAGCTTGCTGCTGCCGGGAATATTTCTTCCATACTCTGCTTCTGTATGGGTTTTCCTGGATGTGCAGTCATGTACTGTTCTCCCAAAAATGTCATTTCGTCTATTGTCTGCGGTTTCCTTTCTTGAAAAAAGGCAAACAATTCTTTACTACAAGACGACAAGACTTTATCTCTTAATATTAGGTCAACAAGTT